TTATATCTATATATGTAAATGTTTGTATATCTATAACAAAAGTAATTTCCCTCTAGGATTATTAAAGTATGTCTGAGTTAGTTTGGATGCTCTTTTGTCTTCAGAAAAGGCATAACAGAGGGGAGTGGCAGTTTAGTGATTGGGGCATAGAGCTTGGAATCCTGAGGTTCTGGGTCCGAGCCCAACTCCTGCAGACTGCCACTCTGGGTCTCTTAACCCCCGATTGCTCCCCGGTTGCCCTACGATGGCAGCCCAATGCTTCCCAAGGGGATTGCAGAGTTAAATTTCACAAATGTGAAATCAATAAAATTAAATTATTATTAATACTTCACGGTTTCTTTCAACAAGATGTCAGAAACCTTCCTCCATCCCATTCTTATAGCTGACAGTAGTAGCATCTCCCATTGATGTTCTTCTGCTTGTCTTGGTTTAAAAAAAACATTAAAAAAAGAAGAAAAAAAACTCCTTTTAACAGCGACCACCTGGATATTGTCTATTTTCTGACCACTCTATTTGCCGCCTTTGGTAATTAAGGTGCACTGATGATTTAATTGAATAGATCATATTTAAGGAGCCAGGAGGGGACCACGGATGTCTCGCTCAGAGCATGCTACTACAGTAAATTGATGTCTGTTGGAAAGACTTTCTCAAAGTTTAGATTGAACAGCATTTTTTTCCCTCTCTTAAGCAGAGATTTAGGAGAAGTTTAAAAGGTTGTACTTTCTTCCAACGTTTGGGTAATGCACCTTGAAGAACAGAGAGATATTAAATGGGTTGCTTGGGAGTTGTTGCAGTAACTTCAACATAAAGTTGAATATTGCCGATACTCCAGGTAATTAGTCGTTAGAGATTGGTTTCAGGTTAAAAGGCAAATCAAGGTTTTAAAACAGTTCAGATTTAAAAATGCTTCAGATTTCCTTATATGGTTTTTTCAGATTTAGGCTCTTTAAATAAGATGACATAGGAAAATGCCAAAGTGGCCATCTTTCGGCTACTGAACCTTTCCTAAGCAGAATCACACAATCCCCTTTAGTTGCAGCAAGCTGCCTGTCAGCTGACTGAAAGAAGACTCCTGCATTTACCAGAAAGAAGGTTTTATTCATTTATTTATTTATGTTCTCAACTTTTATTGTCATTACTCTGTCACAAGTACAGAGCAACGAAAATAACTCTCTGCATTTAACCCATCCCCTTGGGGAGCAGTGGGCTGCCATTGTGCGGGGAGCAGTGTGGGGTTAAGGGTCTTTGCTCAGAGAGCTGGAGAGGCAGTCTGTGGAAGTGGGGCTTTAACTCAGGACCTCAGGATTCCAAGCTCTATGCCCTAACCATTAGGCCGCCACTCCCCAGTTTTAGTTGCTTAGAAATATTTCTGATTGGGAAAAACTAAACGGTAGTAGTAGTGATGTAGGACCTTTTAGGTGGGCACTAAAATAAAGGTAGGAATGTATAATGGGGGATACGTAACATTTATTAAGTACTGGTTCATCTACCTTAGTTCAAATTTCATTCTTGATTTTAAAAGACTGGGAGAAAATTTTGATTTTAATTGACTCTTGTATTTCTGGAGATGGAGAGAGACATAAGTTTATCAAAGAATTTTTAAGAATGTTTAAACAGTAAAGGAGGAATGTTTTTTTAGTGTTTATATTCAAGGTATCACAACTGGCACCATTCATTGGTTTTTAGTTTGAACCAAGCAGGCTGGCTGCAGCTGCTTCTGGCTGCAGTTCATTTACGATTCATTCAACTTTTTCATAGTTTCTGTTGGCAAGCTGTGATTTTAAACCATATCTGCTTTAAAATAATTTGATTAGAATGCTGTATTGTTTGGTTTTGCTTTATTCACATTTTGGAGCAGCTCAGAGCATGAGGACACAATATATGTCAATTACCTTGATAGTAGCTCAAACAACCTCATGAAATGGACCAGGTAGAGAAAAATGTTTCAGGAAATTGAGAAAAAGATGAACAAAAAAAGACATGAGGTTTAAGCAAACCTTAAGCCTATAGTTTTGCTTTTTTTCCTTCTTAGTATTGTCATAATCTCCAGCTAAATTTGTGTGGCTATCTTTCAAAGGTTAACAAGGTAATGTTTAGAGAATAGGCTTGTTTTAGTACTCCATCTTAAAAGTTTTGCCTTGTGTTTTCAGACTAAAACCATTTTTACTTTTTTAGTTAATTCATTGATTTAGACAAGCTATTCTGTTTCCTCCAAATGTGTTTGTTCTTTTAAAATATTCATGATAAACATTTTATCTGCGGTAAAACTAACAATGTTAAAGTAACATCTGTGTTAAATTTCTCACTTGAATTAAAAAGAGGTGGCAGAGCCTCCCCATGACTCTAAAAACAAAATGTTTGTCGTTGCCACCATTCAGAATAATATTCATTCTTGGGCTGTAATTTGGTTTGGTTTATGACACGGGTCCCTAATGGAGAATTCTCTCTGGGCGATGCCGGGTTTAGATTAAACATCCATTGAAGTGGAAAGAGGGAGAAATGAGATACAGTGCCGATGATCAGTTAATATTAGGCTCGCATCTCTCATGATCTTTGCATTTTCTATTGATGCTGGAAGACAAACTAGTGTTTAATTACTCCTAAAAAGTTTTAATCAAACCTCTCACTTGGCATTCTCTCATGTTTTTATTATTTTTGTGGCTCCAGTTGAGAATTTGGAGAATTCTGATTATGGTTTCACATGTTTATTTGATTGCAGGTAAGATGCGCGGCTGTGTTTGCTCTGGGAACGTTTGTAGGGAACTCTGCAGAGAGGACGGATCACTCCACCACCATCGACCACAATGTGGCCATGATGCTGGCTCAGCTGATCAACGATGGCAGCCCTGTGGTCCGCAAGGTCTCTTTCACACAATCGTACTTCACAAACAAAATACAGGTTTCATACCAGCAAGCATTTATGGCAGAAATCCAGGCTTTTTTTGTTTTTCTTTTAAATATCCTGCTGCAGCAAACACAGTTAAAGCCGCATAAGCTCTTTAAACCTTCCAACAGTGTTGATGCCCTCTATTCTATCACATCTGGGAATAAATAATGATGTCTTTATTACTGTTGCTGTAATGCTCCTCCTCATTTGCTTGTTTGAAGAACACCGTGATGGTGACTCATCTTAGGGTGCTACTATCCCTCTGTTTCGCTGTTTTATATTTCATATCTTGGTTCCCCTTTTTTTAAAACCACCCTAAAATCTGTACAAGTGTCAGACCAAATGAATATTGATAAACAGCATATGGAGGTTCAGGCCTTTGGTTTTTTCCAGTGCGCCCCAATATGAGGTACAGAAGCCTAAAAATCAAGCTCAGAGTAATAAGCCATTTCACACAGATGAATGATTTTGGCGAATATTGTATTTTCCAGGCTATAAAGGGCCCAAATGTCAAGCAATGCCTGTAGAATGAATACCCAAATTAAATCTGGCCTCTCCCTAAGGATAACACTTTGAATAGTTTTAATCTGAACTGTCAAAATAATTTAACTGTCATGTTTGTAGTTTTTTTTATTTGGAACACATGAATTCTAATTGACTTCCCTCATAGTGTTTTAGTCTGTTTTATTATCTAACTGTACATGCAGGGCAGATGGTATGGATGTTTTCTTGCTCTTTTCCAGGAGCTGGTAGTAGCTCTGAGTCACTTGGTGGTCCAGTATGAGAGCAACTTCTGCACAGTTGCCCTGCAGTTCATAGAAGAAGAGAAGAATTATGCTGTACCGTCACCAGCTAACACCTCAGGTATGTAGCGTTTTAAAAGTGCAGATCCTTTTTGAAAACATGCCAAATAAAACCCGTGTTCTGACTGCTTTTTGTCGCATGGAGCATTTAGGATCCAGTTCATGCAAAGGAAAATCTAAAACTTTTTTTTTTTTTTTTTTTTTTTTATGCAACAATGGTTAATTATTTGTATATTTGGAATGCTGTGAGGATAATTCCAGTTCCACCAAGACTAATAATTTTGGTGACGTTCAGAGCTCGAGGCTGAGAACGCTTTGCAAATCTGTCCCCCATTTATCCGTCACAGGTTTTAGATTAAATTTAAGGAGGAGTTCAAAGGATCTAAGGCTGGAGTTAAGCTTCTCTGCACAGGCAGGTGTGTAATGTGTTTCAGGGGTAAGTTTATGTGGAAAACTGCACATTAAGTAGCTTTTTTGGCTCTTAATTCACTTCTACATCTTTAACCTAACAAAAAAGGGGAGTAAATCAAAAGGTTGCACTTCTGTGGCACTGTCACATTTCTGGGTGCTGAAATTAAAGAAATAATTCTTCTTTTTTTTCCTGAGTAAAAGAATTTTTCAAAATTTTCACGATTGTCTCCAAATCAAGCTGAGGGTTTTGTCTTTAAGGTTAGATCAGTATATCTGTTGACTATTTTTTTTTTTTTTTTCCAACGATCAGAACCTGGCAACATGACTCCAGTAAGGGACAGCCCGGCCATCCCTCGTCTTCGGTCCGTTAATTCCTACACCAACATCCGAGCAGTAACCACCGCTCGCAACCTGAACAAAAGCCTCCAGAACCTGAATCTCAACGAAGAAGGTATGACGGAGACAGATGGATGCTCAGACACTGATTAAAGACAGCTTCATTGAGGAGGAACAAATTGGCTAAAGCGTATTTGATAAGATTAATTTCTAATGTTTTGGAGTCCCCTCTTTAATTTATCAGCCACCTTTATGCAGGAATGACTTAGAGGGACCCTAATAGAGCTATATCTGCAGTCCAAAGCTTCAATCTGTCCCAGTCAGTTCCCTGTATCCAAAAGGTGCAGAGAAATTGACACCTGTAGTTAAATTACCCCTGAAAATGGATTGTTGTCGTTTAAATTCAGATTTTAACATATTAATTGCTCTGGTACCTTCCTTCCCATAACCTCTCCACCCTCCAAATTATCTATAATTGCTAATGTTCAGAGTTTGAGGACTGCATTTAAATTGGTTTGATTCTTAGTTTTCCATGATGCTTTTCCATTCGTTTCATTATTGTATTCTATATGTGATTTCTTGATTAAGTTCAGCTGGTTTCATTTACCTCTATCATAGATATATTTATATTTTACATGGTTCCTGGGTTTGGGGGAAATATTTTATATTCTCCTTCATGACTGTTATTAACAACCCTCTATAGACTTTGATTTGATAAATAAAGCAATAAGAAAACAGCTCCAGCTTCATGTGCTGATTCTGATTGTTATAAAGCACTGTGAGCTGTCCATGGTGCTGAAGGGCAAAAAACATTTCTCTAAGTTGTTAAGTTATTTTTTTGTTTGTTTTGTTGTTGTTTTTTCTTTGCTGCAGATGTATTCATCCAAAATTAAACATTTTGTTCTCAAACGTTTAAATTTAATCAATTGTTGGATTATATTAGAAAACTAACTATTTTTTTCAGTTTAAGAAATATATCTTTTAGTCATGTAGTATTTTGTATCAGTTTTGATTTTTGAAGGTGAGCAATGACACTGGATAGAGTATTCATTCAAAATGCAACAAGTTTGAAACCAACTGAAATATTTAGCTGAAGTTCTGTGTTTGCTTCTCTCTGCTTCTGAACAAGCGTTAAAAGAGCCAACATCTCCTGCTGAAGGCCTCCAGGCCACTTTCGACCCACAATATGTTATTGTTTATCCCACTGCATGCAGCTATCATGTCTTCCATAATTCATTGCTGCACAACGAGTTAACATAGATCTTTGATTGAACTTATAGACAGGAAATTATGAATATAGTTTATAGCCCATTTGCTTTTTACATGAACCCTATATGGAGTTTTTACAACTTCAGGTCTACAGTTTATTTGCTTTTCTTTTTTTCATTCAAAAAGATAGAAACTGATAGTAAATAAAGAAAAAAAGGAAAGGTATTTATCAGTAATATTCATCATCAACCCATGTTGTGGTTCTTGAATTAATTCATGGGTCTCTTTTAGAAATAGTGATGCCCAAAATAAACAGTTAATTTCTCAAAGTAAGGTGACCTTTCACAATAAGCAGGAAAAAACATTTCCTTATCGCACTTTTTTCATCTGGTCTGCAACACTGCTTTGCTGACCCTGATCCCTCTGTTCTTTACCCTAATGTAATACATCAACAGTTACGTCTAGATCTAAATATTAATATTAATTGTCTATTTTTTTCTAACCTTTTCCTATCAATAATTGCGTTATATGTAGATATCTAAAAGCCTACTTAAGTTGTATTTTGGCAGACTGAAAAGGTTGAATTATTTTGTTTCTTAAAATAAGTTCTGAATAAAGACAAATAATCTCTATCCCAGCCAGCTGTAGAAATGTCAGTCTAACATTTCCTCCCACAGCTTTTCAAGCACCCAGCTGCCTGCTGTCACTCCCAGCCCTCTGTGTTTCTGTCACCTCCCTGTGATTCAGGCGTCCAAAGCCAAGCACGCTCCCCTCCAATCCAGCGCTGCCAGACTGAGTAATGCCATGAGCTCTGCGCAGCGCTAAATCACCAGCGCTCTGTGAAGTGCCTAACCTACTGCTGACACCATTTCTAGTTCACATTCTCTGTGCTTGCTCCAATATGCAGGAGTGTTTATCATCAATGAGCTTAGAGCAGAGCGGCTCTTTATTCTCAACCAATCTCCATTCTCACATTTCAGCCTGTGGTTTGTTAGGAGGATACATGGCATTTGAGCCTGTATGAGTCAGAGTAATGTTTGGGGGAACTGTGAGTTACAGCAGCTGATGACTGGACCTGAATGTTTAGATTAAGTTATGAGAGCCTAGCCTCAAGGTACAACCGCATTTGCTTACACATCTGAAGGTTATATGGCAGTTTATTTTTATTTGATCATTTATCCTTCAATAATTGAAGTAATAAATACCAAGGTTTTCCATTTATGTTAACTCTGTTTGAAATCCTCTCGTCTTTCCTCTTCAGGTGGCCCAGCAGCCCTCTCTCCTGGTAACCTGAGTACCAGTAGCAGCGCCAGCAGCACACTGGGAAGTCCTGACAACGATGAGTACATCCTCTCCTTTGAAACCATTGACAAGATGCGACGGGTTTCTTCGTATTCCTCCCTAAACTCCCTCATAGGTAACAACCACCTTACAGTTTTAAGGCTCCAGAGCTACAGTTCAAATTCATGCTTAACATTGTGTAAGAGGTTACATAACAGGGGCTCTAAAGAGGCTCTGTGTAGTTCAGGTAGATTGCAGCTTACAAAGAAACAAGGTTAGAAGGAAGGCTTTCTGAAGAGATAATACAGATAAAACCAGAGCTTCAAAGATGAGCGTCCCTTAAAGAAGCTTTCATATTTTCTGCTTCCAGTTTTATGTCCTTTTTTACACACCTTTACTCTCTCCTGTGATAAAGTCTTGAAAGTTTCCTTCCTTTAGATCATTTCTCACATTTTATCCCATTTTACCTTCATTCCTTTACTTTTCCTTTTTTTGCTTATTTTTTAGAAGTCACAGCTGTTTTCTGTGACTCAAACTCAGCTCATATGGTGTGAAGCGAATGTTATTCCTAGTGTTTTCTTTTAGCTACAGGTGTCTGAAGTCTACGTCTGGTTTCGTGCTACCCAGGAAATTTGAAAACTTTCCTTTTAAAAGAGGAAACAGGGTCTGACCCAGGGTATCATTCATAGAAGATCTGCCACAGTAGAAGAAATATTAAACGTCATGTGCAAAACATAATCTTTGCTTGTAAAGCACGTTTTGTGGCTTTCGGAATTACTTATATGTATAGATTCAACATTGCCTTTGACCTTAAAAGAATTAATGGTTTTTTTTTTAATAACTGGGACTCCAAACCTTATGCTTCATTAGTAATGAATCTGCAGTGATTCAAACATGATCTAATGCCTTCATTAGAAACATTATGCTACATCTGCCCTGCTGCTGCATCTGTTATGCTGCAGTTTGGGCAGCAGCTCTCACTGGTATTAACCTGGACGATAGCTAATCTGCAGACAGAAAATTAAAAACAATAAAGGATGAATGCACTTTGGAAGGATGGAGACCTTTGGGCCTCCCACAAGAGAATCACTGCCTCCAAATGTCGGTAAGAGTAAAAAAAAGTGCAAAGAGCATCAGAGAGGAACATGCAGGACATTAAAGGTATAGTTGAGGATGTTCTTTTTCCAGGTGGATCATCAAAACAAGTGGTCTTCCTAATTGTCAATCAGTCTGGTTATATATTTATGTAAGCCCGTCCTATGTGCTCGTCCCCATTTTCACTTACCGGTGGTGAGTCTGATATAGTGGAAAAATCTCAACTCTTCTTTTGGAAAGTAAGCTTGCATGAGCGATGCAAACAGCAACTTTTAAACAGTGTGCACAAGGAGAAATGGGCTCATGCATGCTCTTGCACATGTTTAATAGCTATTTCCTCACAGGAGGGGGTACAGGGTTGTGCATGTGTATATTTTTTTTAAGTGGAGAGGGCGGGACTTTTCAAAAATTCGTGAAAATTCTCCACTATACCTTTAAGGTGCTTTTGGATCCATTTCCATTCTCTACTTCTGTCTGTTGTTTGGTGGGTTTTACCATCTGCTGAGGCAATACAGACATTTTAAAAGGAAGCTCCAATTACTGAAATAACAGGGATATAAAACTTTCTTTATTCAGTTTTCTTCCTAATTCGCTTTTGTCACTATGTTCAACATTGCTGCCATAAACCGATTTGTAATTTTAACTTTAAAAGTTAAAACTGCTGCATTAATCTCAATTTCACTTACAAGCACGTTTCCTTCCAGTTCCGATCTAAACTAATCTTTTTTTTTTGTTTGTTTGTTTGGATGGCTTCATATATCAGATAATCTGATTTACTCTGTTCTGTTTTTACAGCTTTTAGCAAAATCTGCTCTGTAAATCTATTTAAAGTCATTGCAAAACTCTCCAAAAAATGTTCAGTTTCTTTTTTATTTCCTTCAGGAAGGTAATGAATCTACTAACCGAAGCTTGAAAATCTAACCTCAGTCTGTCATCTACTTCTGTGGAAACTGTTAGTTTATCCTCTGGGAAACATTTGACAAAAACATGAAAAGTTTGAAAGTACATTTTTGATGAAAAAAGACTGTGATTATGGTGCCACACCATTTCCTCTCCTTATAATTAAATTCCCCAAATCAAATATTTGTTGCTCATTTAAACCCTTTTCTGCTGCCATGAGGTCCCAGATAAAGCATGATGGAAGACGTACTGGCCGTTCGCCCACTAAGCTCTGTGCCAGCTGCAGATGTAAACACTTCCTGCCTTCCTATGAGACAGTTTGAACCCCCACCTTGCATCTAGCTGCCTGAATACAGACTCAGCTCTTGTGTTGTGACCTGAAATCACATATGAGTTTATCAGAAGCATCACTTGTAAGTCTGATTTGTTTGTTCTTTTGTTTCTTTCTTGTTTGTTTTGAAGTTGTTCTCCTAAAACCCGCAGGGCTTCGTTCTTCCTCTCTCCTGAAAACTGAGCTAATTCATTTCCTCTTTTTGATCCCCATTTTGGCTTTATCAAATCTTTCTGTGAGCAAAAAAAAAAAAAAAAGTGTGTTATGATGCAGCCGCTTGGAGGAAATCGAAGTCATAAATGATGTTTGCAGCCTCGGCTTAACATCGGGCTGCAGGAAAGCAGCAGGGCAGCAAAACTGTGTGGGAGGGCACAGTTGGCGTAAAGTGATTTATTAACTTCCCACTACTATCATTTGTACTAATCCTACCACACTGTGGAGACCACACTGCTGTTTTTATTAGGCACCATCGTGCTCAAAATTAGGCAAAGGCTCAGTTTTGTCCATTAACCTTAACGTAGGACGCAGTGCAAGAATATTGTAAATTCAGAGCTCCTATATGACAGGATAACTTCTGTTTTTCATCTCAGGGTTTTACAGATCTTGATAGGTTTGGAAAAGAGGAGTATAAAAAGGTTTACATCTCTGTCTCCTAAATGTTCTATCATCCATTGTTTCACCAATTGGCAGGTCATCCGTCTGTTTGCATATTATCCATCCATTCTTCCATCTAGCTGTGGTTTATCTGTCTGTAAATCCATCCTAGGTTTGTCCAGTCTTTCATCATTTCTGGCCACAGACCAGAGATACCAACCCTGGAATCAACCCTATAGATATTAAACAATATCTATTGGGGGGGCAGCAGCATTTTTCATTCCATCTAACCCTATTTTGATAAAGCATAAAACACATAAATGGTCTCTGCTTAACATGCTGACACATGTTACAGTTGTGCTGATTAAAATCTATATTTACTTAAGAGAGAATAGCTCAACTTGCAGTATAGTTTGTGTTTTTATTGTAATATAAACACTGCCTGGCCCAAAAAAAAGTCGCCACCTAAAAAAAAGGTCACTCACTCTAATACTTTGTTGGACCGCCTTTAGTTTTGATTACGGCACGCATTCGCTGTGGCATTGTTTCGATAAGCTTCTGCAATGTCAAAAGATTTATTTCCATCCAGTGTGGCATTAATTTTTCACCAAGATCTTGCATTGATGATGGTAGAGTCTGACCGCTGCGCAAAGCCCTCTCTAGCATATCCCAAAGATTCTCAATGGGGTTGAGGTCTGGACTGTGGTGGCCAATCCATGTGTGAAAATGATGTCACTGCATGAAAAGTGAGATTTTCGTCCCCGTAAACCCCCGTAAACTCCCGCAGA